CATGGGGTCCAACATTCGTGTCTTCGCAACCATAGCACCAGAGACTCTCAAGTTAATTTCATTTGTGCCTACTAAGCGCAAACTTTACTGAATTGTCCTAGTCTTCTTTTGGAACTGAAGAATCACGAGGAGTATAGAATCGCAAAATTTCGGACACCCTTCAACAAAGCTGAACTATTAAAGGACTTCGCTTTGTGCATGCACCGGTCTTGCAGCGAACGATGAAGCGATGCGCGGCCATTTTCGCCGCATTGCAACGTACTGATCAATCGATGGGCTGCCGTAACCAAGGTGAGATTAACTTGCTATGAATGGACTGATCTACAGTTGCATGTCTACATTGGGTTCCCCTAAACGAGCGTGGTGTGAAACATGGTAGCTTTAGTAACTGAAGGTCGTTCAGGGGCTGTTGGCTGTGTATGATTGCTGATCCACCGCTCATCTTATGGTATCGAGCAGTGCGATGGATCTTGGCAGACCTGATCGATCTTTATGCGACGACTATATGTTTGGTAAGCTTGTTTATAGAGAGGGAAAGGGGTCAAATCCAACCATAACTGTGCAACCAGTAGGTCTAACATTCGCGGCGACATCTGACCTTGTCTTTAGATCTGTTTTTGCAAAGTCATGCTTTGTTGGAGGTAATGCTGAAACCATTCGAATATCTCAAGATGCATCCAATTTTATCATTATTTCTATTCAAATTAATTTTTTGCGTGATCTCTTGCAGCACTTCTAATTTTGATTACATTCAATTGAAGAGTAAACCTTGTAAGAAACATGCACAAAGATGCAAATGCTGCTGCCCGCTTTTGATTGGAGAAGTTTCATTGTGCTTAGGTCTCTTTGTAAAATAATTAAGTCGCATCACGCGTAGTTTTTCCTTAGATGAAGTCATTATCTGAGCCATTGAGCTCCATATAGAGATTGCATGTAATATAGATTTCCAACCATGTGCGTCCGTTTTTGAGTTGTATATTTTTTTGGGGGAATTGGGCCTACTGTTCCTCTCTCAAATTTCTCTATTTCTTTCATGGTTGGTTGCAGTTTCGCTTCATAGAAATTAATATTGTAAAACCTATGTTGGTTGTATTCATACAGTTTGCATGGCTTTGGTCAGCATGGCAAACAAGCTGCATATCATTAGATGTAGCACAAAAAGCTGGCTCTGAATCTGTCTTTTCTGCCAACACTTTTGTGTGGACGAAGCTGTAAGCCATTATCCATTACAATGCTGAAATTGTGCGCGCAGAATGCAAATTTGGCGTACCCGTGTTCGGCCAAATGCTGGGCAAAACAAAGTAGTTGCGTCAATTAGCCCATACCTGAAGACGAGACAAAGGACAATAAGTGCTCAATCTCGTCATTTACTGGTATATAGCTTGTATGGGTTGACCACTAGCATTTGGATTTTGACCATTTGTGGAGTTTTTTAGTGTAACAGGAGATAGTCAGCTCACTCAGGAGGCTGCAGACGATATCTTCATTTCACTGCTTGATAAAAAGTTTTCATAACAGGGTGCATCCCTGATCATGACGACGACGAAAATGCATGTGTAGCTGAAGAAATCGATGCCATTAATGATGAGACGTTTGGAGATGACATGCAGGATTCGATCAACAGCGAGCTGGAGGATTATGCGGCACAGGTGCGTATTTAGTGCTTCTTGCAATAAAATAAAAACGAAAAACGAAACTAACTAACTTCTCGCTGTTGTAGACTGCTTGTCTGCGTCTTGACGATGCACCTTGGGATGCTCCAGGTTGCTCGAAAGCTCCTGCGCCAGATGCATCCAACGTTCCTCTACCCGACTTCGACATCTTCGGGAACTCATTCACTAGTTTTGGTACCGAATCAATGGTTAGCATGGCCTTATTTATATTCATTTCGTTTTTGCTGTTTACTTTCGGGTTTTTTTACGTTGTTTACGTCTTTGATTTTGAAGATCTCTAATTATCGCATTTTACCTACTTTTTAATCCTGTATCATCACATGCTGGTGATTCGCAGCGAGGTATTGCGTCATACTTTAATGTACACGTAACGGTCATGTTCACACGTTTGAGCCTTTCTAATCATAATGTAAATGAAAACAGCAATTCTGTTGAATAGACCATCTATCAATATTATCATATCGCGGTCTTTATCAAAAGTAATCATGATCTTAGTGTTGCACCTGTATCTAACAAGG